ATATATATATATATATATATATATATTCCTTCTTTTTCTTAGCAAAATCTAGATATGAATAAAAATAAATAATATGTTAAAACTCTGAGATCTACTACAATTTTTACTACTAAATTTTATGACACATATAACCCTATGGAATGGAAATTTTATTAGGTGCGGAGTGCGGACGGGGTGAGAACCGTACACACAGACACATGGTACCAAGTGGTACGCAGTGGTACCGAGTGGTACCGAGTGCAATTTTATACTAGTGTGCGAACGGTTCTCCCGTCCGCACTCCGTACCTAATAATTTCTGGAATGGCAGACAGATCACTAAAGTTGAAAGCTTTCTTTCTCATGCTTCATAATTTCATGAACTTTGTCTTACGTAGCTCTTCTTCTGATTTGATATCACTAGATGTCCTTTTTGCAAACATTATTTTGTTAGCAAAAATTAAAGCTTATTGATGTTTTTGCATAAATTAAAGCTTATTTTATGGTTTTTGAGTTATTAGAAATTTTAGCCATTTAAAATTTATTATAAATAATTAAAAATATATAAGTGTATATACATGATATGAACTCATATTTAATTTATAATTAATTATATATTCACTAAGTCATGCTATGCAATTGACTATCAGCGAGTTATTGAGTAATATGCCCGCTTTCTAATTTTTAGGATTAAATTTCAAATTTAAATATTGCATTTCAAGTAATGTCTCATTTTAATTTTTTTTTATTAAGTTTGCGAATTTATAATGAATGAATAATCAATAACTTATTTTGATTAAAAGAAATAGTAACTTGTCAATTACAATTTTTTTTGTTAATAAGTTAAAAGTAAAAAGGAGAATACCAACAAACAAAAATAAATTTAAGAAAAAAAATTATTAAATAAATAAAATTTGACCAATTATAGAGTTTTCATGTCAACCTGACTTGACTTGCTAATAAAATAGGTCAAAATTTCAGATCTAAAATTGACCCGCTTTAAAACGGTTTGGAACAAATATATATCAAATTATCAACCCAAATAATTTATGTACACCCAAATAAATTTCATTAGTTAAAAGAAATATAAAATAATCCACACAATATTCTTGAAAAAGGTAGAAAAGTTTCTCTAAAATAAATTTAACCTAATATCAAATGATTAAATGCTTTAAAATATAGTTTTTACAAATATGCAAATTTTTTTATTTTTTTTACTTAAAAAATTACTTTAATAAACAGTAAAGAATCCATCTCAAACAAAGTCTAAAACAAAATTTACTTGATATTTTAAAAATAAATAAATTATAAAAAATATATTTTTTTGAATAAAATAAATGAAAAAATGTTGAGCAGAAGCTGCAAGATTAGATCTGGCCAATCTAGGACAGGGTGGTTTGGCCCGTAATAGATATTCTACCTCATAGGATACCATGCATTGACGTTAGGGGCATTCCAGTAAATAAATTATTTTTGGGCCTCGAGCCGGGCCCTATTGCTGATTAGGACAGCGGGCGGGTTCAGAGCTATAATCATGAATTAAATAAAAAATATAAAAAATATAAAAATAAAAACAAATTGGTCATTCCTGGCGTTTTTATTTGGGAAGAATTATTCAGTTTTATACACAAATTCCCATATTTTTGGAGTTTCTTCTTTGGTCCGATACCATCATCTCATCGTTTGTGAGATACTCTCCTACCATTTGAAGGCTCATTTTTAATTATAATAATTGTTTTTTTTTTAGTTCAAAATTAATTTCAATTCAAATTTAATTTTCATATTTATTATATTCAACTAATAATGAACTTATTAACCTTTTTCATTGTCTAAAATGCCACTACTAACTTCAAGCAAGTAATTAAGCTGTAAAAATATTATTCATGTACATTTAGGCTTTATTTGGGGCAACTTTTACGTTGCTTTTTAAAACATAATTTTAGTGAAAAATTATTAAGAAACTATTTTTAAAAAACAATAATAAAGTAGTTTCAAACGAAACCTTAATTATCTCAAGCTTAATTTAATTTAAGTTGCGTCAAATATGTTCAAGCTTTTGATGACCTTTCTCAATTAGTGATGAAATTAATCGGCGTGTGAACACACAACAAGTTCATAAGCGTGCTTATTTGATGACGTGAAAATACTCTGTAGATATGTTCGTAAATATGCTCTATGACAATTTTTATATTAGGCTTTATAAGGCTTGTTTGTATAAAAGACGATAAATTGGTAAATATTAAATGAATCAAATACAAATCAAACATGAACATTTATCATTTTAAGCAAAGCAAGCTTAAACACAAATAAAAAATTCGAATCGTGCTTAATAAGCTGTTTTATTCAAATAAATAGGCTCAAACATAAACAAGAACTTGTTTAATTCAACTTGGTTTGTTTACAACCCTAGCTAGTTATGCAATACCCACATTGCAATTTTGGCTAAATACATATAGTTTTTTTTTTATTTTAATATTTATCTTTTCTATGTAATATTTTATACGTTTTGGAACTCTCTCATATAAAACAACTATGATAGAGAATTTGTCTTCATATGTTGATGTAAAATACATTACATAAAAATGAGCTTCAAAATCTTTTGATTTGTATTGAGATTAGTGTTGCATATACAATAAGAACAACAACAAACATTTATTCCATTATGTGGGATCAACTACATGATTTTTTTTTTCTATTGTATTATTTTAAGAATAAAATTCTCATTTAAATCTAATAAAAAAGATTATTTCTAATATTTAAATCTATCTCTATATTTACCAAATCTAATACATGTACTCCCATAATCGGGTCATTGGAAGACCGATGTTTTATGTGACCAAACCATCTAAAACGACTCTCTCTAGTCTTATCTACAACTGGAGCTACTCCAATCTTTTCACGTATAAACTTATTTCACATTATGAGATTAGTGTTGTATATGAAATATATTAAATTATATTGATCTTCTCAACGCAAGTGGATAGCTTTGAAGTCCATCCCAATGATATATTAAATTATATTGATCTTCCATGACAAAGTTCAAATCAAGATGATACAAAAAAACAAAATCTAGGTTAATGCGCAGTGTGAGAAGCTAATCCAAACAATAGTTACAAATTCTCTAAATTGAATGACATATACAACTCGACTCTCTCTAATTTTTTGTTTTTGGTTGAAGTAAAATGAAGTTAAAATTAAAAATATATTAAACATAAGATATAAATGCAGATAATTATATATATCAATCATACGTGTCATGTTATCTAAAGAGCGATAGAGATCATCAATATCACACTGAATAGTGAAGAGAAAAGAGAAAGAGATTAGCAATGTCGTAGAGGTTAAGTTAATGAGCGATGAGTGGGTCTTCAGGAGTGCCAACCAGGCTTTGAGGACCGACAATTGAGTGACTAATGATCAATGACCGAGCGAACTACGATCAATTATCAAGCGAATGAGTAGTAGATTACACACTAAGTTCTCACCAAACGACAAATTTAAAATAAATTAAGGAAGAAATTTTAAATCACTTAACAATCAAACATGTAGAATTTTAAGCCATATATATTTGATTTACTCTACAAAACAACCCCTAAATAAATCAATAAATAAAAGCCTCTCATTTAAATTATTTCATGAAGTCATTCACTCTTAAAGCCTCAGCCCCTCTATCTTCCTTAAATATTCTCCTCCACCACCAAAAGTCTCTCTATTCTCACCACTGCAGAGGTGACTAGCTCTCCCTGCTATTAGAAGCACCAATGGGCGAAGAAGAGAAACACAATGTGGAACAAGAAAAGCCCTGCGGTTACAACATAAATGACAACGCCGACTTGCTCGCCGAGATCCTCGCCCGCCTCGACGGCCGTTCTCTTTGCGCCGCCGCTTGCGTCTGCCGTCTCTGGGGTGCGGTCTCCCGCAAGGACGCCGTATGGGAAGCTCTCTGTAACCGCCACGTCTCCTCTTCCGCCACGGATTCCTCCTTCCCCGGCACCCGCACCGTCGTCGCTGCTCTCGGCGGCTACCGGCGGCTCTACCGTCGGTGCGTGGGCCCCATCTTCGACCGTCTCGCCTCCTCTGGAGATCATGGGCCTCAGTCGTCGGCAGTTGCTGCGGCGGCCGCTGCTCGGCTCTCTCTATCGCTATTCTCGATAGATTGCTATGAACGGCTTAGCGTCGGCGGCCGGCAGCGGCCGTCTTCTTTGCTTTTCCTTGGAAGTGCCGTTGATGTCACGTGATGTTTATGGTTAAGGATAAGTTGGGTGCTTCGCGGAGTACCGCACAAATCTTGATGTTTTATGCTTTTATTATTATTATTATTAAATCATTAAAAATGAAGAAGTTTGTTTTTATTGATTTTTAAATATATTTTTTTAAATTCTGCTCATTATAATGTAATGGAATTACATAGAAAAATTGTTTTTTTATATTCACATATTTGGATTGGAGCAAATTTACAAACAATTTATTATTTTTTAAGAATAAAAAAAAATAAAAAATATAGTAGAGATAGAGATGTTAGGTAAGATCTACTTATATTTTTAATATCCTCCCTTGAATCTCTACCTTTCTATTAATATTCAATGAGTGGTCTATTTTTTTATTTTTTATTTGTGATTAGCTTACAAATCAACTCAATATAAATAGAGCAATGGTACACTATTTAATTTATAACCCTATTTTTAATATTTATTTAGGTTTATATAATGAGTTGGGTAATATATGACCTAATATAACTATTTATTTCTCTTTTAAGGGCAATTTGATTTGAAATAAAATGAGCGTAAAGTATTTCAAATCAAGGAATTTCAAAATTATTGATGTTTGATTTAAAATAAAAGAAAAGAATAGTATTTTTTTTGCTCAGCTATTTAGGTTAATTAAGATAAATTTAGACACACGTCACATACGTAAGATTCAAACTCAAAATCTCTCCGAGATATGCTGTGGAATAGTAAAATTGTGAAGTACTTCATATTTATCACATAATTCAATATTCGATGTGTTTCGCCGACCACCGCTGCAGCTATAGGCAATCAACATCAGTTGTTGTCACCAACACCACAATCAACCACTTGCCCCCATTTTTTTTAGTTTAAAATTGTATTCATTTTATTTGAATCTGAATAAAAAAAAATTTACATGCATTTACTTTACCATCATCCAATCTATTTTACTCTACCTTTCCTTTCTCATCCAACTAAAAGAACCCTAATGTCTATATTATAGGATCATTGATAAGCATGACAATCTAAGAGAGCCATAATCTCTCCTAAACCCTAAAATAACTACCCCCAATGTAAAGCCATTTTAATCAAACACCAATCTCAAAGACAATTTCTCCATCCAATTGCTCTCAATCCAAAGGCATGCATTTTAATGCACATAAATTTCAAAAATTGAAAGAAATTATTCTGTGTGAAGACCGGACATAACACCGTTTGGAGACCAACCAAAATGCGTCATATCAACGGTACCGAGCACAGGAGTGACGTTGCGCATTCGGGTTGGTCTCCGGACCGCGTTTGGCGTCCGCACAGAATAATTAATCAAAAAAATGACATATATCTCATCTAATTTAGATTTTGAAAAACAAAAAAAATCATAAATTTTGATTAAAATGGACCTAAAAAATCAACAAATTTAGACAAATAAAACAAGAGAAATTAAAGCCTGATAAGATATGTCATGCATGGTCAATAATTTCATATGATTTACATGATTAGAACATGGCATTTGGAACTATCATAAGAGAGTAAACTTTGCCTGCAAGAGACAAGAGGCATTCAGTGGGCATCCCATGCATTATTAGCCCAGTTTTGGTTCCATCTGGAGTCATATCTTCCCTGCTGAAACTTGCTAGCTGAAGTCTGTATCATAACAAGCTAATTTTTCCTGTCAGATTACCCTTTTGTCGAGCATACTAAGTGCCCCCACACTGATCACTGGCATTTAATTAAAATGCTTGTTGACATTTTCATATTTAGTGATAAAATTATCTCAAGCTTAAGGCAAAATTACAGTTTTGTACATTTTTTTTCTCAAAAACAACACAACAATAACATTTAAATCTTTATCCGACTACGTGGGCTATATGTATTTTTTTTCTTTATTGTGTTCTATTAAGAATCAAGTTTTCATTTAAATATAATAGAAGAAGTTCGTATATGATATTTTCTAATCATGTCTTTTTAGGTCTACCACTATTTTGCTTAATAGAGGCCAGATCTGAGACATATGTTCTCCTGATTGGGTTACCAAAACATTGACATTTTATGTGACCAAACCATCGAAGGCGATTCTCTCTAATCTTATCTGCCACTGGAGCTACACCAACCTTTTGCGTGAATATATTGATTTTGTATTATGTTTCTAAGAGTAAAGCGCTCATCCACCTGAGCATCGTCATCTCTGCAACACTTCACTTAATTTATGCCTTCTCTTTAACGACCAACATACTACACGTCTACACCATAAAGCCTTGCAGGTCCCATCAGTTCTCTCTTATAAAATTTCGCCTAATTTTTTAGGGGAATTTTTATATCACACAATAGGCCCGATGCATTCATTCATTTCAACACTCCAAACAACTTGAATTCTACTAAACAAGAAAAGAATTAAAATTACATTAACTCTCTACGAGTGACATCACTATGAGTTTAAAAACTCTTTAGTTTTGTGATGAGATAAGTGTTATATATGGCATTCAAAGTTGCACTTATCTCAATGAAAATTCAAAAAATTTGAAATCCATCATGATATGTTTTGCAGCATAATATAAATTTTAAAAAAATTAAGTTGAGATTTGAGACCAATCTAATAAACATGAGGAACAAAATTAAACTTTAGATTGAATTATATCGGCTTTACCTTTCTATTTTTCTTTCAATCCTCAAAAGTCCAAACACGCAAAAAAATATATTATGATATCAAAAATATCTTCAATAAAATAAATTATATGAAATATATCTTTTAATGATTCATAGTGATTTTTAAAAGTTTACTCATAATTAAATCTACCTAAGTTTTTCTTAAAAGAAAAATTAAACTCCACAATATAATAAAAATATAAAAAATTTAATAAATTAAAATAACAAGAAAATATCTAACCCACAACATCCCAACTTTAAATGCATGGTTGACATATTTATGTAGACTTAAAAAAAAAAAAACACACATATAGCAAATGTGAAAGCCACTAACATATGTCCAAATGTTAATAAATAGCATTGATTATAGCACCAAAGTTTAGACAAAGTTCTCTTAAATCATTTGTGTATTCACAATGCTTGGAAAGGAATCTAGTCAGTACACATATCTCCTTCATATCACCACATATTACAAATAAAAAATTATTAGATAAAGATCATAAAAAAGAGTAACATAGTAACAATGAAATTTAAAGATAAAATGTAATTATCATTCCTACTTATCATATTTATAGCAAAGTTATTTAAGAGCATAAGCATATGTGATATGGTTATTTGAAAAATCATTGAAATGTAATCATATTTATATGGAAACTAACTATTAAGTGGACCTTATGGTAGTACTTCGTCAACGAGCGGTAACCATTTTGAAAATATTGTACACTGAGTTTAGGTCATTTCCATTAAATATGTGGAATAAGAAGAATGAATCCATAAGGCTAAGCTTGCCAAAATAAAAGGCTCTCTAATATCGGCTCTGACCCGAACACGACCCGCGGACACGAATTGACAACCCTAATTTTGCCCAATAAAATTATCTCTAATATCCCAAAAAATTTCTAAAGTGCCATTGAGAGAGGAATTGAATTTTCTCAACCAAATATCCTAAATATAGAGGAGAAATTTTGAATTCTCAAATAACATTAAGAACAAAAAGTTTGGGGCCAAGTTTGATTAACTATATACTCATTGGGTTTGATTTTAATGAGTGGAATAGGATTGGTGATCAATTAATTATATATTACACACAACTTCTACAAAATTCAATATTGAAACAATTAATTTTAATTTGAGATAAGTGTGATATAAATTTGAATTGATTAATCATATATTTTTACTATCTCAAAATAAATTTAATAATCACAAAATGTATCCTAATCCAATCCGATATGATATTTTGACCCATAATTTTCCCATTTTTTTAATCAAATTTAAAATAAAATGAAGATTTCAGCTTCGTTTGAGATTATTTTCTTACTAATTTTTAAAGCAATAAGAAAGCTACTTTAATTCTATAAAATTTTCTACTAAAAAACTGCTTGAAAAAGTAATAAAAAAGCCATCCCAAACAAATTCTAAGACTTCGTTTGGGACAACTTTGTTATTGCTTCTTGAAGCAACTTTCTAGTACAAAAAAATTAATTTTTGTATTAAAGAGCTGCTTCAAGAAGCATTAAGAATGTCATCGTGAACAAAGCCTTAGCCATTTGAGACAAGTATTATACCTCTAACAAACCCTAATTTTCAAGTTTGAATGTTTTAGAACTCCAACTAATCCACCTAATTCAATTAAACAATGGAAATTAAATAAAAAAAACTTATTAAAATCAAAAGTGAAAAAAAAATTGTAATAAAACAAACTTTAAAATTAAAAATTCCAAAGAGAAAAAATAAAATAAAATAAAATAAAAACAGTTGCCGTTTCTTTCTTTAAATGAGCTGCACCTCTTTGTTATACTGAAGCCAGGGGTCAATCTTAAAACGGGCCTACCACATAGTTGAGCCCATAAATTTCTATGCTCCTGACCCATTTAAGGCCCATTATTCGAGCTCATGAGTTGAGCTCGAGCTCAAAATCGAGCTCATTTAGAAAACAAGCACGGTTTAAGAATGTGCTGGCTCAGCTCGCGAGCCAGCTCGAATAATAATAATAATAAAATATTATATTTATTAGATTTAAATATTAAACAAATAAAAATAACCACGTAAGTATATTTAAATGTTAAAATTGCATCATTTTTTTTAAATCCCACCTAAGTTTTAAAATCTCACCTAAGTTTTAAAAATTTCGCATAAATTTTAAAAATCTCACCCATGGCTCGCGAGCCGGCTCGAGCTCGTTTACAGTAGGATGAGCTCGCTTTCCGACTAACGAGCTGAGCTCGATAAAGCCTAAATTCGACTCGTTTCCACGCCTACTCATTAATCCTTCTCTAAAAATAAAAATAAAAAATTCATCATATTATAAATAAAATTTGGATAGAGGATACCACCACATAACTCTATATAGATATAAACATAATGAACTCCGTTTAAAAGCCCGCACGATAATTACAGCACAGTGAAGTAGTCTCCCATATATATTATAAAAGTGTTCATATATAGCTCAGAAAATGAAATGATTACCAGCTTCCATTACTGGTCTGTTTTGCTTTCCTGCTACCATAAAGCCTGAAGAGATTGAAAGCAGAGAAGCAGGAAAGGAGTATCATAATCAAGCTCGCTATAAAAGCACTTACTAACCCTTCCCCTACCTGCGTACAAAATTTCCTGTAGAGATTGCATGTCTTCATCCATTCTAGCTCTGGTTGGCCAAACTGCCCAAGAACTGCAGATTGCACTGCTGCTGCTGATGCTGATAGTGTCACATAAGCCATCACCTATAAAAATATTAATTTTTTCTATCTGTAGTCAGGATTTAGGCTAAATCCTTCATTTGAGACGGTTTCTTAATGCTTTCAAAAGCAGCTTTATGGTACAACAAATTTTTGTACTAAAAAACTGTTTTTATAAAGGAATAAGAAAGCATTCTCAAACGAAGCCATAGTCTTTAACAAGCAAACATAAAACTTAGTTTAGGTAACTTACTGAACAAAGCAAAGGAATTCAAAATGAACTCCACATTAATTTATTCAGTACAAGGTGAATTAAAGAGGTGGCAATGTGGCAGTTAGGTTCACATGTAAGCAGAGACCGTCCCACATGCATTTAAGGTTTTAAATAAATCCGGCCAACCATTCACACATGAAAGGAGATTCAGAATCACACCTTACATAGCCGTTACAACAACCTTTGTGGCCTTCAGGAATTTTTTGCCCAGAAAAAAAAAACAGTAAAACATTGTTAGTTTTGTGTGGAATCTGATTGTGTTGATCAATCAGGATGTACTGCTATCTTGGACCTCAACTCCATCGATTGAGCTTATCGGGGGGTTGCAGCCTTGAAGAGGGACCTCCCCTTGGGTTTGGATGCTTTGTACCAGGAAAATTATTTATGTATAATCGTACAGCATTGCGGCGCTATGTACTCGAGTGCTGTGGCGTTGTATTGTTTGGTTGGAGGTAGAAAAAGAGCATAGCGTTGCAGCACTGTCAAGCATATTGGGGTGTTGCGAGGTGGGTTAGGCTGTTTTCTTGCTCATTTTTTATGAAGGGTTTCATCCCTTGGTAGTTTTTAGTGTGTTTCTCTTAACTCGTTTGTAAGAAAATGGTGCAAGGGTGAAGAGAGGAAATGAGAGAATGAGAGATGAGAGATATGCATTATTTCTCCCAAATTTTCATAGTGAATTTCTTAGTGTGGTGTGACTTCGTGATTTTTTCCCGATTTTGAGTTTTTCTATGTTAAATCCTGGTGTTTTTTTTTTCACTGCAATTTTCAATTTTTTGTTTGTTTCGCTGTGTGGTTTTACTTCCCCAATATAAAAATAGATAAACATATAAATTAATTTATTTTTTATAAAATGTCAAATAACATAAATAATAATCAAAGAATTATGTCATTAATTAAAACATAAATCTATTTATGCCTAGAAATAAGCATTACATATTTAAATTATTAACATAAAAAATATAATAGTTTTAGATTAAAACTTAATAATGGCTCAAACTCGATAAGAAAAAATAAAAATAAGCTTGAACTATATTTAAAACTAGGGTCATCATCAAACTTAGGTTGAGCTCGTTAGAAAATAAACAAAGGAACAAAGTGGTGATCAGCAGTTCATCTACAGTCAACCAATAACCTGCAGGTTGTTGGATTATTGGCTTAAAATTCAACATTATTCCAAGAGAAGAATGTATTTTGAGATGAGAACAAACAAAGATACTTGAAAATTTTACCAATCTTAGCCTAATATAAAGTGACCAGCAATATGCCCCCTTCTTCTAGATTAATTATTATGTGCGGATGACGAACACTGTTTGGAGACAAACCAAAATGTGCCACGTCACTCCTGTGCTTGGTACCACGGCTCGGTACTTCTCGGTACTCCTCGGTACTGTTGAAGTGGCGCCCTTCTGGTTAATCTCCGGACGGCATTTTACGTCCAGTCTCCGCACAGAATAATTTCTCCTTCTGAGTGCAATCCACCAGGATTTGGTAGAGGCACAATAACCAATATGCATCTTGAACTATATTTATTTTGATGGGAAGTCATGGATGAAGGGATTCATAACCTCAAATGCATATATTTATTGCGTTATTATTGGGTTGCTTATGCTAAAATAATCTTAATTGTTAGAGTTTTATTAGAAGCAATTAAGTAAATCTAACTTGTGAGCTAGTTTGAGCTCAACTCAAAAAATGGCTCGTGAGTCAAATTTGATGAACTAATGAATCAGATTGGCGAAACCCAACTCGAGTCAACAACTCCAGAGTTTGTGTTCTTAAAAAATGTTAGTATAGAAATAATTAAAATATATTAGAATTCATATGCCCTGGCACAAAGTTATAAAAAAAAAAAAAAATCTCTTCCTTCTCAACTTACATTTCATTATTTCTATTTAAATTTTCATTCTTTATTATATTTTATTATAAGAATTACTTGAATTAGGATCGCTCTCGCAAACAACCCAGTGTTCCACGCAAGAACAAAGCATATTGAGATTGATCACCGATTCTTGCGGGAGAATCTCAACAACAATCACATTCGTCTTCTTCCCATCAAGACTGTAGATCAACTTGCCGATCTATTGACGAAACCACTGTCCACACCGCGGTTCAAAATGCTCCGGGACAAACTCACGATCATCTCTGACCCCTTCGTTTGCGGGGGGCTATTAGAGCCTTAAGTATTTCAATTAGATTAGCTGATTTATATCATTACAGCATACCAATTACTTAGCTACACATGTACATTCTGTTATGATAAACTGCTATTTATACTAATGTAATCGTGATGAGTAACAACAAGATTCATTTCCTCTTGTCTATCTCTCCTTCGTTGTTCCGTCCTCACGCTCTCCCTCAAGTTCCAGTGATTCAACAATTAGAATCATTTTTTCTCATTTATAACTTATTATTTCTATTTAAATTTTCATTCTTTCTTGTATTTTATCATAAGAATTACTTGAATTAGAATCATTTTTTCTCATTTATAATAAACGAACTAGCTCAGGAGCTAGCTCAAACTCATAGAATTGAACTCAAATTTGATCTCAATTAATTAGTAAAGCTCAGGATCAAGTTGGGGATGGATCACTCTCAAATTATCTCATTTGGAACCCTACTCATGGCCATAATTTACAAAATTTAATTATTTAAGTTGGTATTTTCTAGCTTTACGACAACATCATCTTATCTTGTGAATGTTTAGGCACAAAGTTGCTCAGTTCGGTTCACTATTGCAAAGCTAAACAAGGTTTTTGATAGAATAGGAATCCTAGATAGAATACAAAGTTGATATACTGCAACAACTTCTAAGTGCAAGCTTTAGACCACTGTTTTTTTTCCTGCTTTTAAGAAAATTTTTAACAGAAAAATAGCTTTACAAAACAATAAAAAAGACGTCTCAAACAAAGCCAAGCCTTTTATCATTCAACTTTTGCGCATTTGCCATTTTAAAAACTTCATACTATTCATATAAGAAGGCCATAGCCTTGCATCAATTCCAATTCTAAAGAACAATTTAATATTCATCAAGCACATGAAACATAGCTGACACCCAACAATCTCATATTTCTGAGATTTTTCTGATTCTCACAATAAATACTTTCAATTTATATTCATATATTCAGAAACTACGCTAATCACATCAACTATTTCTGCTTCCAATCCGTGATTTTATATACTAAACTCACAAAAAAGAAGCATAGTAGAAAGCAAAAATCATGCAATAGTCTATAAGAAAACAAGGACCAGCAATAAAACAACTGTAAACATTAAGAAAAAAACTTTGTTTCTAAGGTTTTTGTTTACCTGATCGCAGGCAAAAATGACCCAGGCCAATCCCTTGCTGGAGACTACACTCACCTTCACCATTCTCACCACGCAGAACATCCCCTGCAACAAACTATACCCGGCCGCCACCCCATTAGCCACCACCAAGAACCTGTAAACCTCAAAAAAGCAAAGCAACAGTAACCAAACCCATTCAGTTATCCCCACAAATTTGAGATTAATCTGCACAGGGTAAGTAGGGCTTACACCAAAACCTTCATATCCGTAAACTCCGCCTTCTTCTCCAACGAGAAGAACGTCCTTACTTGGCTAGCACTCCCCACCAGAGCTACCGCTGTCACTCCAAGCCCTAATACAGCCAGCCTCAGCACCATCTCCCCCACCCTTAGCTTCCGCTCCAATGCCATTGCCTCCCCTTTTACAGAGTAGTAAATCTTTACTTCGCAGGTGGTCATTTCAGATCTCCTCACCTATTTTCTACTGAGCTCAGTTTGAAAGCTGGAGAGTGGGGAACGTCGCTCGTCTTGCCCGTTTAAGAAGGCAACAAGGGTGGTCTTACAAAGAAGATGGAGATCAAGATGATGCCCTTATTAATGGAGGGAAGGTGGAAATTTATTTGGGGAAATCGATTGATCGAGACTTCGAATGCTGTAAACGAATGGAATCATGAAGAGAGAGAAACAATCGGAATTCGGAATGATTCGCAGCGCTGTTCTGTATAAAAGTAAAAAAAAAAAATTGTTTTGGGCAGGGTTGTCAAATATTTGAACTGAAAATTTGTTCAGAAAATTTTGAATTAAGGTTAATCTGAATCCGAAATAGGTATGGTTCAGATTCAACAATTTGATCTGTTTTAAAAATTATGTCGGTTGCAGGTTCATCTGAAAATTCGAAATTAATCCGTTTTCGACCTGTTTTTGACCCAAAAAGTGTAGATTGACCCGTTTTTTTACCCGAAAATTAACAATTTATTTGTCGGCCCCGGATCATTCGAGTATTGTCAGGTTGACTCGGACCTGTAGCGGGTCGGGTTCGAGCCTTAAAAACTGACTCATTTGTAACAAAATGGGTCGGTTCGGATTGACCCGATTAGTGCCATGTCAATTCAGACTTTGACCTGAATTTGATCAATGACCCGAAATTGACACCCCTAATTTTGGGAGATCATAATCCATTAATCATCAAATAATCATTCATTAATGAATTGATAAAAAATTACACAATTTGTCAAATTTTTTATGGTAATCACATCATGAACTTGTGCCAGAGACAAATTCACGCTCAGAGACACATCAACATCAATGGGGAACCCTAATTAATTGTAAAATACAAAATTTAATTCAGTTTCTCAGACACAATAAATTGATTTGAATTCAACGCAAAGAATTTTGTTCTCTTTTTTATTTATATTTTATGTCATTGATGAAATTTTTTAATTGTTAAAATGTCACATCATACCTTTTTTTTTTTTTTTGGAAATTACATCTTACACTCACATGTGAATATTCATCATTTAAAAATTGGAAATTTTATTTATTTTGGTGCATTTATGATGTGGAGGTGAGATTATGCATTATGGAACTTTTATTTTATCCAGTGAACGTACGCAGAGGAAGGTTCGGTTTTAGCCAAAAAAGAGTCTGTACCGAGCTTTTTCAAATAACTCGGTACAGGCGCGAAAACTCGGTACAGGCACTTTTTTGCCTAAAACCGAACCTTCCTCTGCATACGTTCACTGGATAGAATAAAAGTTCATGCATTATGTGACATTGAAGTTATATGTGTATATGTACATATCTTCTAGATTGTGCACGTGAGTTTATGATGATTTTTCTTATTGTATTTTGATTATATTTTGTTATTGGGATACATATGATGATTACTATTGTATGATAGTATGTTCATACTTTTGTAATTATAATTATGTGCATCAATCGAAAGGTTGACGTTTTATTGTGAAATATATTTTTCGTATTTTACTGATTTTTTTATTGCAATTCATAAGCTTTGGATGTCTATAGATCTTGGGACGTGACAATGGTATCAGAGTAATGGTTAGTAAAAAAACTTATTGATTGCATTATTTATCGATTAAATATGTTTAGAGATTTATTTTGTTTTAAAAAAATTATTTTGTTTTGAATGATTCAATTTGTATTTAAGATTTATTTATTGATCAGGCAAATGGACCAAAAAGGAAAGTTACACCAACAGGACAAAACTGCAGGACTCTTAAGCCAAAGCAAACAATATCTCGATAGTTAAGAGTATGAGTTGTTACACTTATTATTTTCAAACTTCCTAGTTTGATCGTCCTCATTGTGTGGACTCAATTTGAATGCGATCAAAACCCCTAAATAACACGATGAAATGCAAGAATCTCATTCAACTAAGAAGTATGAAGCTCTTAAAAAACAATAAGTGTGGTTCCAAAAGCCACAAATGAAAGCTACCACAACCATGCTGTTTAACTGAAGCCATAAGAACAATAAGAACACAGTCCCTGCCCAAATGATTAGGGATCCATAGCTTTGATTGCTACTCTATCATTTTGAATAAACATCCTAAACTTCTTTTAGTGCGCAGAGCACTCACTTGGTTTTTGCATCTGTCTTGGGTGAAACATTGTACACATTCTTCAGCAAGTCCTGGATTTTGTTCAGCATCTGGGCGGGATCGCCGCCGCCGACGCTTGGGCCGCCGCTACCATGTGCAGGTCGCTGGCTCTCCTGAAGCTTTATCTTTTCAAACAGATACTGCTTCTCAGCTTCAGCTTCGTCCAATCGCCGTTTTAGATACATAGTAGCATAGTCTTGTTCGGCCATCTCGGACTTCGCAAGAGCGATGCTCCGCAGCCTCTCGGCTTCCTGCCTGGCCTCAGTAGCTTTGAGCTGGAACATGTCAGCCTCAGCTTGCTTGAGCCTCACAATGCTTTCAAGCTCATCCACCTGCTGCTTCTTTCTCTGCCTATCCATTTTGAGCTCTGCAACTTCCCTGGCTTTATCCTCAAGCTCGCGGTCACAAGCCTCGACGGCAAGGCGAGCTCTTTTAAGCAAGAGAAGCTTCTCCTCGGCAACCATCTCCATCTTCTTCACGGCTTCCTGGACCACATCAGCTATGCGGTTGCAGGCTTCCTTCGGAGATATGGAACGACTTGGGTCCTCATTTTCATGGCTCTTTGGGGATTCTATCTCAAGCTCTGTAGGACAGATCACAATGTTATATTCAGAACCAATAAATTAACACAATGGAATGGAAAGCGCATCATTTACCACTTCACTCTTTTGAGAGCCAAACGAACTTGAAAGTACAAAACAAAAAACTCAAAGCCAACCCAGACAAGGAGGCAATGAACTTTTAACCTTAAATCAATCCTCCCCATAATAAGGTCTCTACTTTAGTCAATGTTAAAGAAGACTGTTGATTGACTCATCCAAGTTAAGGTTTATTTTCAATCACAAAGATGGAGAAGAAATTATGTATGAAAAATAGAGGGAATAAAACTTTTGCATATATCAAGAGGCATAACTTGGATAAAACATTGAAAATTCATTTTTTACAGCTTTCTTAATGCTTTTTAAAGCAGCTTTCCAATACAAATTTTTTAATTTTTGCACTTGAAAGCAGCTTTAAGAAGCAATAAGAAAGCCGTCCCAAATGAAGCCTAAGTCATAGAATCAGAAGTTCAGTTCTGGCCAAAGCAACCAATAGTTAATGGAAAAGACCATCTCAATGTTACTAAGTTCTTCCAAGAAGTTTTCAAACGCCATGGACTCCTATGTTTTAGCAACCAAATCAATCCAAGGATATGACACAGAAACAGACTGACCCAAATAAGTTAGTTCAGGGTCATTTGGTCTTGGATCTATACCAAGCCTTAGCAAAATAAGCAAAACAGAACACCAGAATTTTTTTTTTTTGGACGGATAGGGGATCAAAATTTGATCAGCTATACTAATTGTCAAATTCAATTTCAATCCAAAAGTTTGACGACCAACTATTTGATATTTCTACCCAACATAATTTTCAATTATCCAATATGGTGTGAAACCCAAAGCTTAAAGTGCTTTATCAATCTCCCTCAAGTGAGAGCTCTCCTGTCAGCTATAAATCTGCATCAAACATAATTTTTATCAATTACTATACAACAAGGGAGTGCCAACCACTTATTATTTCTACACAACATAATTTTTTTAATAATTAGAAATAAGACAAAACCCAAAGCTTCATAATGCAAGACATCCAAGTTATAGAGATTCTAATACATTATAGGATAATGCAAAGGATGTTGATCACATAAAAGAAATAAAAATTCACAAATTAAAGACCGTTGATTAAACATACATTCATTTTTTTTAACACATAAACTTACTATTTTTTACAAGTAATTTCAAAAATATGTGAAATTTAACTAAAACTAAAATGCAATTATTGAATAATTCAAAAAAATCAACAAGAAATATGAACAATGAAAAATCAACGAGCAATTAAATTTTAGCCACAATTGAAATTCCGTTTATAATAAATTTGGCCCAAAGAAAGGCTCTTCCAACCCAAGGAGGGCCGGCTGAACAAGACCAGGAGCTGGTTTACTCCAGTCGGGAAAAGCAAGCCGCCATACCCCTTGTGGGGGCCATTACTTGAAGAGGAGGGGCAATTTAGGCAAGTTTTAATTTAGATAGGGGCTATTTAGTAATTGGAATTATATTTGTATGCTTTAAATAGATATTAGGGATTAGGGTTAGGGTTATCTTGTATTTGGCTGAATTCTGTTTAGGTGCTTAGGTTTCATTGGTCTCTATCGGTGTCTAGAGAATTTGGGAGAGATAAATCCTCCTCTCAAATTAAGAATCAATTGTACCTTGTTATTTTCTTCTCTATTTCATCCATTACTATGTTGTTCTTGACATGCTCTTGGATTCTTTTAAAATTTGTGGTGGGAAATCACATAAATCAAATCATTGATAGGTTTCTCTTGAATTCTACAAGTGTTTCCTATCAGTCAATTTTGTGGTAATGCATTCACATTGATTCAATTAAAAACAGTAAAGCGCGGTAACAAACAGAACATCCTAGAGCATATAAGATCAGTGGAGCTCATACTATTTGCTCTAGATAGCTTCCTGCAGGTCCCCCAACAACATGCGGATAGTTTTTTTCCAATGGAATTCAAAATTCTCTAAATAACCATGCAACATTTCCTCTTACACCGCCCATGACTTAAAAGACCAAGCCCATGCTGAAACTTGTAGTAATGGAAAATGGCTCATTTCCAAAGGCCAATACTGACGCACAAAAGCACAAACCATTATAATGAAATAGGTAGTAAACACCAAAACTCTCGTGACTAATAATTCCAATTCCCAAGTTAAACCATAAGAAAAAAAATTAGCAAACCACTTAATCAATATGCGCCAAACTTTGAACCGATTACCAACTAAACCAACCAAAAATCATGCTAGACCTTAAATCAACCTAGATCCAAGAAATTGAATAAAAAGAGAAAAAATTATGTTTTCATAAGCATATCATTACAAGCATGTTCAAATATACCTAAAATAAAAAATTACAAAATAAAATAAAACTACAAGTGAGTAAAGTATTCCAAATGCAGGGGTTTTGAAAATTTTGATGTTTGGTTGGAATGCAAAATGAAACAAAGTAAATATAGTGTAAACCATTTTAGTTCCTTTTTGAAATAAATCAAACTTGCCTAATTTTGAGCTAGCATCATTTACACCACAAGCAAGCTCACTTAGCGCCGCCAATCATCGGCAACACCGGCTGCCACCCACCACCGTCAACCTCCGACAGCCACCGCTGGCCACCACCATTTTTTGAACTTTACACTACATTCATTACTTCAAACCAAACAAACAAAATCATTCACCTACATTTACTACATCCTTTTTTTTAGACAATAAAACAGCCCCTAAATAAATTTTGATGTTGTCAAAATTTCAATCAAAATTTAAGCACTAATGACTAAACACATATCTCCATAAAAATACCCAACAACACTAACAAAAATAAGCCTTTATCCAACTACGTGGGGTCAGCTACATGAATCTTTTTTTTTTCAAATTCTCATTTAAATCTAATAAAAAAGATTATTTTTAATACTTTTTAACCAAGTCTTTTTGTGTGTAACTCTACCTTTCTTAATGTAGGTCGAATCTAATACATCTATCATCCAAACAAGGTCATCAAAAGACAAATTTTTTATAAAGTTTTATGTGACCAAACCACCTAAGGCAACTCTCTAATATTATCTTCCACTATAGCTATTCCAACCTTTTCACATATATACTCGTTTCACATTATGTATTTAAGTTCAAAGTCACTCATCCACCTGAGCATCCTCATATATGCAACACTTAAGTCAATTTTATGTTTCTCTTTTAATGGCTAACATTTTGTACCATAAAGTATTGCAGGTCTCATCGCCATCTTATAAAATTTTACCTTAAGTTTGAGGGGCACTTTTCTATCACAAATTTAGCATTTGATATTCAACAAGTAAATTAGAGCGTAAATTTTGCGATTCCTATAAAATTTTACCTTAAGTTTGAGGGGCACTTTTCTATCACAAATTTAGCATTAGATATTCAACAAGTAAATTAGAGCATAAATTTTGCGATTCCTGTTAAGTAATCTATAAGTTATCCTAAATAGGTCTATTACATCGATGTACTAAATATCATTAAAATTTAACATCAATAGTAGACACAATTTCATTATCTAGAATGACTTCAACAATAAGCTGTGTAGATTTGTTTGACAAAAGCATTTGATGCAAACCCATAGGAAGCTGGAAAAAAAAAAGTCTTAAGAATTGGTAGCATGTTAGAAAAATAAGGTCAAATGCACCTATTTAAAATTGGATTAATACTGTAACTTCTAAAAAATCTAATTTATAGATGTTAATTCCAATGAACTGCAAAATTTTAAAAGGCCCACTTTTTCCACATTTAACTTCTTCCTGAAGCAAGTCATTATAAATTTAAATGCATCATTACTTTATCATCCAATTTCAACTCCATTTACAATTTGTTCAAGATGGGAGAAAGCTTATAATTATAAAATTAGTAGTTGCTTTATTATGAATAATCTTATCCAAGATATGGATATGTTGTGCGAATGATTATGCAAATGCACTAGCCTAGACTCGGTAAGATGCCCAAAAAAATCTATAGACTTTCTATGCTGGAATCCATGAAAACTTTGGATGGACTCACGTCTGTAAAATTATTAAGAAATAAATTGTGTCCATGGACTTTAATCAAACAATGTACCACCCATACATTTGCGGGTGACCAGCAATTGAAAATTTATCCAAGTGCAAAATAACTTATAAATTTACATCCATCTTAGATGTAATTACTTTAAGTAATCCATGCTATTTAATCATATTCAAAAATATAATTTAATAATGTGAGATACATTAATATTTTTATCCCATAAATGAAATGAGCAATTTTAGAGAAACAATCAACCACTATAAAAATATAATCATACATTCTTCGAGTTCATATTAATCATAAAACAAATTTAATTATAAAATCAGAAAGTCCCTAAAAGATGAATTAAGAATGCAAAAATAAAGACTCTTAAATAAATGATCATCTTTACAAATAAAAACGTTGTTAACCACAGATGAATTATTATTTAAGTCCACATATATCTCACCAAAGTCCTTAGAAAGGATACATTCCCTTTATAATAATCAAATTCAATTACTTTAACATGCATTGTTCATAAAATAAGACCTATTTAAAGCATCAATAGATTTATCCTCATTTACAACACTTATTAAGACAAAAGTGTAATCCTGCAAAAGCTTTTAACCTATTTGGCAAGTCAATAGCTTAACTTCTTTTCCTACCCGAGTATACAATGATTTATGATCAAAATAAAAGTACACTCTTTAAGAAACAAATAATGCCTCCAACAACAAAGAGTCTGGACAAAAGAATATAATTTTCTCTATTCTAAGTTGAACATTTTGCTTATGTTCGTTCAACTTCTCACTATAGAAAATAATTGTATGTCCCCTATGGCTTAACATTCCACTAATACCTACACAAGAAGCATTACAATAAATCTCAAACACTTCATTAAATCAAGCAATTTCGGTACATATATATTTACAAGCCTCTAAACCTCAATAAAAACAAGATCAAATTACTTAATCCACTT